CAGCTCTGCCCCCCCCCCTTTTTTTTTTCTCCTCTTCTGTAATTCTCTTATTATCAGACTGCAATATGAACAGGAACTGCTTATATTAGAATATTAAGACTTAGCATAGTGTGCTAAGTATTGAAGACTGTAGAAAACCAATTTTTAACGTTGGAGGTGTAGGCTGTGGTGTGTAATATGGCCTTGAGATCTGCATAATGCGCACACCACATGGAAGGACAAGAACATCACTGTTAGGCAGAGTGACTTCTCACAATCTTGGCTGTTGTGGGTTCGCCTGAGGCACACTCTACAGCCACTTAACTTGCTTCCTAATCCACATATATCTTCAATTTTTATACATGTATATGCATATTTTATACACACACAAAATTGGAAGTGAGGCATGAACAGAAGCAGTACTGAGAAGAAAAGGGGATGGCAAGAAGGGTGGACACAAACTTATGACACCAAGAAGTTCAGCTTCTTCAATTATTCATCTGTCAGCCCTAAATATTATCTGAACTTTCTCAAGTTCTAGCCTACATCAGAGAAGGTTTCACGCCCAACTCTACCTTATTATAGGCTCAAGACTAATCAATAGCTGCTCAGTTATAATGTGAGCATCTAAAATTTACACCTAAGTACACGTGAAAGAGGTACATTCAGTAAGGATCTCCACATGATCAGATAGTTTCAGTGACTCCTATCAAAAAAAAAAACCACACACACACACATACAACAAAACCCAAACAATATACGCCTACAGAACAACTTTTCAGAGGGAAACCCCACAGCACATCAGATTTCAGGTAAGATATAGAACATATTTATTGATCCTATAAGCTTTGGATGCAAAAATCAAGTGTCTCAGCACAACTTGGTGAGACTAATCGTGGGTTTCTTTCAATGTTTAGTAAGTTCCACCAGCTACCAACAGAGGTTAGTTCATTACTCTCAAATGTTTTTATCTGTGGAGAAATGAAGCTCCACACAACCATTTTAAAAATGTTATTATTTTTACTTCTGTTTCATCTGTGACAATTTCTAGAAAATAGAAGACACAAAAAAGATAACACAGAGCCATGATGATTTCTGAATATCAGCTTTTTCAAGCCATGTCCAAATGCAGATAATGGGTTATTTTGTCCAAATCATATACAGAAGGAAGTAAAAGGTATGCTATTAAACTTACTGTGATATTATTGCTGCTGTCCGCTGTGCTAAACGGATCAGTGCTAGCAGTCACAAAAGGATCAGTGGAGGATTGTTTGAAAAAACAGTCAGCTGCAAAAGGATCTGAGCCTTTGAAGGGATCGCCGCCAAAGGGATCTAAAAAGTAAACATCTCATTAACATTTCTGCTAGCTTTACTTAGTTTGATATCCTAAAAACTAAACATTATGTTGCTTTTCTCATACTGCAAGAAGATGACACACTTAAGGCCAAGCATCTTTGAAGTATGAAATCCATCTGAGAATAATTTGTATTCTGCAATTTGAAACATTAGACAAGCTAGTGTTTTCTGCACATCATGAAAACTTTGGATGGTGCCAGTGGTTCAGTTCCAGAATCACCTAAGCATATTGGTTCTTTATCCGAGCCCCCTAAAAATGAAGCATTTTACAAAACTTAATGTTTCTCAGAACTATCCTACCCTCCTCTCCTTCACTCCCCAGACACAATCAATGTTTTCTTATTTGGCACTTGGTGCACAATACCACTTTGCTAGAGCCTTCCTACTGGCCGTTTTGCTTTTTTGTTACCAGTAACTCCCTTCAGGACCAAGCAAATAACACAGTGACACTGCCTACACAGCCAGTCTAAATAGAGACTTCCCACCTTTTTCAATATTCAGTGCTAAATAAAGTTGGGAAGTCTAAAAAGAGTACAGTCCTACTACCATACACATAAAACAGGCAGCAAGAGTTTGGGGCCTTCTGTTCACCACCTTCACTTACTTAAACACCAACTAAGCAGACTTTCAACAGCAAGAGAAAAGATCACCGGCAATGGGCTTCTCTGAAAAACTTCAACACAACGGGCCAGCTGGTACTGCCATGTATCCCATCCCATGGTGACTTTATGGGTCATTTCCACCTTTTTTTTGTGGTGAAAGTGGTGACGCTTTTCCCCACATACTTTTCTACTAGGATTCATTTAGGGGAAAAAAGAAAAGCACTAAGAGTTATAAAGTTACTTACCAATTTTCCCAAAAGGGTCATCTTTGAAGGGATCACCTGTTAAAAATGAAGAAGTGACTTGAAGCTTTTTAGCACAAAGCATGTGCTGAGTTGAAGTCTTTTGGATACAAATTCATTTCTACAGTTAGAATTTAAACAACTTAGAGGAATAGTTTAACTGTTTTCAGTGGAACTACAAGAGCTAGCAGTAGACAATGCAAATATTCATCAAGTAGCTCACTACCAGAATGAAGCACATACAAATACAGCATCTCAAAGGTGCATTTTTGTTGGCTGTTATCAATAAACACCCAAATTATGCAGTATTTACTACCATGGTAATCCAGGCTAACCACTGATAGAAGCTTAGTCCCAGTTTTGATAATTCTCACAGGCGTCACAGATGGTAGTTCCTACGTGTTCATTTGTGTGCTGGATGCATGGTCCCAACTGCATCAGTTCTACTCCCTCATCTACACCTGAGCCACATGGATATACTGTCTCTTAACTGTAGGTATCTACCCCTGCCTGTACTGAGCACACAAAGACCAAAAGGCTGGCTACTAACAGACGTACCTTCCTCCTCTGAAAGAAAGGCTGTGTCATGTGCTGTAAGTAGAACTGTTCCAATATAAACAACAACAACAACAAAATCAAGCAGTATCCACACAGAAACATTAAAGCTGTTTTGGATTAGTTTAATTTATTCATTAAAAGTATTAAATCTGCAGTGGCATTCTTCCAGAAGCCAAGTGATCTGAAACATCTAGTTTTCCTTTTGAAGCGATATGAGCTAAATCAATCGGACCATGTTGATTCTGAAAGCATGGCTGAAAACATCTACTTCAGCCGTTAATCCAAATTAACTCCCCTCCTTCAAGGGGCTCCACACAGACAGATCAATTCTTCCAACATAAAAGAAAAAACTAAAGTCAGAGCAACCGCATTTGTAAGTGGCAGGTTCCTAAAATAAAGCATAGCACTTCCACAAGACGAGCAGATGGTGCAGTTCCACATTACCTTTTTCCAAGCGCGAAACTCACCATAAGTAGGCCACAGCCATTCATTCTCAGCCACCCACACCCCCTCAATACCACAGCTCACCAAACCCTCAGCTGATCTGATTGTGGATCTGTGCTGCAAATTAGGGGGTGGGCAGGAGGTAAGGCAGGTACTTTCCCTCGAGGGGAAGGTGCAATTTTCACAGCTAATTAGAAATCCAGACAAGGAAGGAGAAACACCCTGGAACTCTCATTTCTATTTTTGTAATGCTATTGGCTCCACACTTGTGTCACTCAAACACCTTCACATTTACTCTCTATAGACCACTTCCAAGGTGAAGACTAGTCTGAAATGTGTTCATGTAAGACCTATTTCTGCAAATCTGCACTTAGAGAGAAAAGTTTACTTACTGCCAACAAAAGGGTCAGACTGGAAGAACTCTAAGCTGGCTTCAGAAACTAGATCAGGCAATGGATGAGATTCAGCATCAAATGGATCTTCCTGCACAATGCAAAAGCAGAGAAGGTATTAAATTTTTAAGACATGCAGGACAGAAAACACGTTGTCTTGTGTAATGATTTAGTAGTTTCTTAAAGCTGGAAAAAAGGGACACCTATAATTCTACACAATTCATCAACAGAGTTCCAAAATATTTCTCAACAACAACCTGCCTGCTATATATGAAACGTTTTCATGACATCACACTGTAAATAAATACATTAAGAGGAGACAATTTTATTTCTCTGTTGTTCTATGACCATCATGCAAGTGACATCATACAAGCCTGAAACAGTTTAACTAGGATTTTTTAATTTACTTTTTCTTCCTCCAAATCTGAACAAACTCACTTTTTTGGTAGTAGCTGCAGCTGGGGTCTCTTTCTCTTCTTCCACAACAGAGGTTGTTGTTTCAGGACTATTCCTGATCTATATAAGGATAAAAGCAATTCATCATAAGTAAGTAAATAGAAGACTACACAATATACACCATTTTAAGCATTAAATGGCTAAAAAAATATACTAAAGGATACTTTAAGAGGTTCATACTTATTATAAAACACACTGAAATATTCCATAAATCTTGTGTAAGTTGAAAAAAAACCCCCAATATTACTCAAGAATCTACTGGGACATAAGGAGGGACATTTAAAGCAAAACAGCTTTAGATTTTCTGTACTATTACTTATTCCATTCTTGTTGCACCAACTGGAGAGAGCTGCTTTCCTTTAATGTTAATTCTACTATTCCATTTATGATATTTTGCTTTGCAAACAAATACAGAAAATTTTTTATTGCCGCTTTCCAGCTAAGCTAAAATTGCCTCCATTTCTGCTTATCAACTTTCAGATTGCTGAAACATAGTCCCTCAGAATAACACCCTGAAATTCCACCTGTGCTAGTGTTTAAAAACATAATCAATCTTGATACATTCTTAACTTATTCCAACTTCACAGCTGCACTGCATCATGATGAAGCAGACAAAACACTACTCACTGGAGACACACTGTTTATTTGTTCATCTTCTGCTATACTTTCTCTTTCAGCATTCTCATTCAGGTTAGCAGTTTCACTGCTGCTGTTGCTAAGACTAGAGCGATCCGCAGTTCCATTAACAAGTGTATTATGTGGCTGAGAGTGCCAACTAAATTGGTTATTTTCCAATTCTTTCAGCTCAAGAAGTTTTGTCTGCACCTGTAAACAAATAAACGTATATGCATCAGTATTGCAGCACACAGAAGCTAGTATATGGCCATCCCCTCTTAAATCTAAGACGGAAGTTATATGTCTGAAATTCTTATTTTCAAAAGCAAATATAATAACTTGGTTCTTTCAATCAAAGGGTTAAATTTGAGAGATAAGCACAAATCTGGTTTAGAAGAGATACAATGTGTTTGAAAGACAGACCTGAGAACCTTCTCCTGCCAAGGTAACAGACTGCATCACTGGCAACATCAAGACTTGTTGCTTTGTTTCTACTCAAACTCATAAGAAGACTTGCAAAGCTTTCATATTTTTTTTTTTTTGTTCAGGCTTTCTTTCTGCTTGGTTAGGTTTTTTTTGGTGGTGGTTGTTTTGTTTTTGTTTTTAAAATTATGTATCTGCAATTGCCTTAAACTCTAAATTAAAAAGGCTGCTTTATCAGAGTTCTCATCTTCCGAGAAGGAAAAAAAAAATTTGTTATCTTCTCCCACATGACCTTTGAAGTCTACAAAATCCACAGTGTATCCTCCTAAGCAGACAGTTACATCCACATGTTACTGTTTCAGCAATATGCTTAATACAGTGCCTCACCACAAACATTTATAGCCAACCTACCAGTAACGAAGGAATTACTGCACTTGGCAGATTATGCAGAAGGATGAACACAGTTCAGATATTTAGGTGTCAAAATCCCACTGGCTTTTGCTAAGCCAGTCACAAAATAGAGTTTTCATTGCCTTGCATAGGTCACAAGTCAGGTTGCAAAGACAACATCAGGTGCCTTTCAAATACACTGACCTCAGACCAGCCATTAGATAATCTCGCCTAAAGCACCAAAGCATCTATTGTTTATTATTTGAGAGCCAAAAGCAATAAAATCAAGAGTACCGATACAAAATCTATCAAAAAAATGTTTGTAGTACAGTCAAGCATAACCACTTGTATTATCAGCCTCAGATCTGTCCACTGCAAGTACCTCTTGCTAGTACATTGATATTGAAATAGCACAGCCTTCTCTGCCTGTGATGAAGCCATGGAAAATCCATTTCTCTACTTCCCAGTTTCTAAACCTCAAAGACAAATTTAAAAGTTAGGAATATGTTATAAGGCTCTTCAACAGCAGAAAGTGCTCTTGCATGAACACTAGCAGTGGAAGTCTTCAGAAAAACGTAACAAGTTAGACATGAATTGTGTGAAATGACCAACCCAAAAAAGTCAGCCATTCCTAGGGTTCAAAGTTAATAAGCAGGCTTTCTGTTTTGTTCTTAACTTGATGATGTGACTCTAGCTAATACATGAGACAGCTGGCAAGTCAGAGAAGAATTATGAAGAAAGTGTGTGCAAGCTAACACATTACTGATTACAGATCAGAGCTAAAATTGTTCCTTTAACGTAACAGCAGACACTTCAAAGCACAGTTCTCTGCTTAAAAGCCAGCGCAGCCCTCTCTGCTTCTCAGTATCTAATCTCAGTCCAATTTATTCTTACTTTCACCTTCCTTTCCTCCTTCAACAATGCACTAAGTAAATGTTATTAAGTAATTTTATACCAACATCACATCAATTAAAGATTAGTGAGAGCGTGCTCCAGGCCATGGCTGAGGAAGAAAACTTCAGTAACTACTGGATGTAGAGAATTTAAACGTGCATTACTGATTTTTCATTCACTACATTGAGACAAATTATTTATGCAGTATAACAAATTAATCTCTTTTTATTTAAAAAAATGGAGAAAAATCATGAAGTATCTTGCGTGACTTGAGTCAGCCTCTAAGAATCCCAACAACTACTAGCACAGAACACATGTAAACAGCTAAAGACATGAGCAAACAGTGAAGAAAAAAGAAAACAACGCCTTCCCCTTAAGAAAAACCACACTAACAATTATCAGCTAGAAAAATCCCCCCCCCCTTCACACCGCCTTACTGAATTGATTTCCTGTTGCGAATCCTGCAGATGTTGCTGAAGAGGTCCCAGCTGTGCTTTCCCAGACTCTATACAATGCTCAAGCTCTGCAGTTTCTTGTTGCAGGCGACTCAGCTCCTCCTGAGCTTTGGTCAGTTCATCTTCATATGCTGAAATCTTTGATTCCTGGCTTGTTATTTCAGCCTTCAGCATGGCAATCTAAAGCATGAACAAATATTTCAAAGCCAAATAAACCCCCCACATACACTTCCAAACACATCCAAATAGTATTATTTGTGGCCACAAAAAGTAAAGATCTCATAGCTATTGCAGAGATTATACATCATAGCTGAATGAAAAGTTAATTCCGTGCTGGTCTCATTAAGATCATAGCATTCTAGCTGTTTTCCTGACCAACACAGATACTCTAAAACTGAAAATATAATTCTAGACCTTAAAGAAATACTATAGCTTCATATTAGAATAATCTACATAACCATAAGATGATTTTTTTAACTGCTAACAAGTTGGTCACAGTAATTAGTGTTTGTAATTACACTTATATTGCATTCTAATTTTGCATTATTTTGCACTTAATCTTATTTGCATGCAAGTATATCTCAGTACATTTGTTGACACACTGATACTAAATTAGGAGGTCACTGAAATGAGTGACATACTTCCTATTCTCTGTTGGTCACAATATTTTGACACTCGGGCTGTTTATTTGTTGAAGTTGTTCACCTTCCCCAACAAGCACACCACACTGCAAGGCTAAGGCCTTAGCCACTAGACCTTACCAAGTGGGCCTCCTCTGCACATTTCTGCCTGATATCATTCAGTTGCTCTTCCAACTTGGCCTTCTGCTCATCAAGATCGTTCAGGATTTCCTGCGCTTCCTGCTTCTGAGCTTGCAGCTTTTGCAGGTTACTGCTCTCCCGCTTTACCTCATCTTGTAGGTCCTGTAATAAAACAGATTTGCTTTGCATGTGTTCCCTCTCCCCTCCCAACCACTAAATTCCACAGTATAAACTGCAGTAGTAACTCAGATTTCAAAGTATGAATAAATTGCCTTTCAAAAGTTAACATTTATAATATATCAAACAACCAAGTATTCCCAAATTCCAATTCTAAGACACAAAAATAATCAGGTTATATGCTTTTTCTTTTCTTCAGTAAAAAGAACTTCACTGAAACATTGAAGATCATGCACCAACACAGAGATTAACTGTTTTACTCACAGGGAGGGTAGGGTTTCATTTTGAATTTAGAAGTCGTCTTTATTTAGGCTGCTACATTATCCCTCTCCTATGTTTTAGCAGTATATTTTACAGCATTCCTTAATAAGAGAAATTCTTTATTCTGCTCCTTTCCCCTCAAAAACAAATGGCCAAGAGTAGAAACTTGTTTTAACAACATGGTAAAGTACCAAATCGGGGCATTATTAACCCAAATGCACTGCCTTCTAGTCTCCCCTGCCTCCGATTTTTCAAAAATCAGCCAAAAACTTACTTTCCATGTAATAGCACCGATAGGAAATGCCCATTCTATACACTACAATATGGCATCCGTTAATTTATGAAACGGCAGTTAAGTATGTATCTTGTATTCTAAGCACATTAAGTAGCATCATATGATAATTAGTTAATTTCTGAGCAACAGGAATTGTTATACTTCAACAAACTGCAGAGATAACATTGAAATAATGTCAAGAAAAGAATTTAGGAAGAAAGAATCAAAGTCAAGAGGAAGAGATAAGACAGAGAGATCAAAAAGGATTAATACAAAAGAAAAAGTATGAGATGAAAATAGAAGACTGCAGCCTTTCTGAGAAAATATGGCAATTGAAGGAAGAATCATGAACAACAGTAAAAAAGGAATAAAGATAAAAGAAAATTAAGGATGGGAAAAAAGCTAACATGAATTTCCAATTACATCATGCATTCATGTGGTGCTCTAAGCTCAGATCTTGTTGTCCTTTTTTGGGGGTGTTTTTTTTTTTAATGAGGGAGATCATTTATCCCCATGTGCTAACACCTCTAGATAATCAGGACAAAAAAGCCGGATAGAAATAGAAACGCATATGGTGCGGCAGTCAGATGCTAGAGAAACAGGTAACCTGAAGACAACTGGAAGACTAAAGAAACACAACAGAGACTTTTATGAAAACAGACCAACAAAAAAAAAATAAAAAAAAAAAAAAAAAAACAAAATAAAATTTGAAGGTCAGTAAAGAGTATACGACTGATGCACAGCAGTCACATTAGGTGAATTACTGGTTATTTCTAATCTATGAAAGACAAACCAGTGCACACACAAAAAGCTCTTACAGCAGCTACTGACTCGGATAATTGGGACACTCCTGATCCATTCATTATTCACATTGCTTTGAAAAGCGATTATCAGCTGACACTCAAACAACTGGAGAAAAAGTAACAGCGTGAAGAGATTTCAGTCTCCTTCCCCCAAAAGGAAGCAAGAACTCCCATACAAGCTAAATACAGATCACCTCCACTCTTGGTACTGTTTCTTGAATCCCAATGTCTGTCCTATCCACTGCAGCAGAGAAGCACTGGAGAGACCTGATGAAGCCTGATGGCTCCCAGAAGGGAAAAGAAGAGGAAAAAAAAAACAACCCCAAACCACCCCCACCCATGTTCACATAACTCCTCCAAAATTAAAGGTCGCCGTAGATACAATACACAGAACTGGGGGTAATAATCAAAGATACACCTTCACGAAATAAACCAGGCTCCAATTAAGCTTCAATTTCAAAGAAAGCCCTCAGGAGAGAAGCAGCATCTTAACGTTCAAGCATTGAATGAGATTTTATATGAAAACCATTAACATATTTGAGGTAGTACACGCTAGCATTTTTCTGGTAATAGTAACCCTTGTATTAGATTTATAGGAAAAGCGAAGTCTAGAGATCTGTATTTCCACAGACAGACAATGGATTTAATAGCTCGCCAGTCTGTACTTCACCAAATGATTCACGTGCTAAGAACTGTTAAGCTGAAAACAGCACATAAAAGCTAAACTTCAACTGACTTTCTAATGGCTTTGGTGCACTGCAACAAACCAAGAATAGGGAAAATCCAATGCTGAGTGGGATATTCAGAGAATAAATGCGTTTAAGAAAACTCAGGCCAACAAGGAGATCAACAGGCTAGAAGAGAAGGACAGGAACAGTCTGGACTTCTTGGAAGGCCACAGTCCCAAAATAACTTTCACTTTTTTTTCCTCCCCCTTTTTTTCTTCCAGAGCAGGCTGGTGACGGGATCGCAAGGGGACAGCCAGGTAAAGGCACTTTCAGATGCTACTTTGTATGTAGTCAAAACCTTCTCTACCGCCAAGAGGAACATTTCATACACAAGTTAAATACTCCCATATTTATAGGAAATTGCTAATCCAGAGTAAGTTAAGGAAATAGTGCCTTAGAAATTTCTTGATCTTTGTTACTCTGTCCATAACTTTTCAAGAAAAAGCACCCCTTAATCTTTGCTATTAAAGAGATGACATTTTAATAAGCATGTTAAAACCCACAAGCATGCTGTTTCCCCCCCTTTTTCTGTCTTTGCTTTTTAGTATCTATTTACATTGTATATAAATCATTTTTCAGAAGAAAAACTGTCATCCTTTCCCTCCTCCCATACAAAACAGTGCAATCCATCACAGATCATGGCTATATTTGAGAGTATAATTTGTGTATATCGAAGTAATTCTGGTATCAGAAATTCTAGTGTGAGATGCCACGAAACTAGCTTGATCCAAGGTGGCAGATTAGAACACACTGGTTTTGTACACCATCTTTAGAAATGTCACCTTTAGAATAAAACCAGAAGAAAAAAAGCATGATGTAAGGATATTCTTTGTCTGTCACCACTCCGAAGTTCTAGAAAGTTTCCCAAAAGATGCAGGTCCTACAACATTCAGGAGCAAGAAAGGGACCAGACACAGAGGGCCACCAGCTTAAACAAATGCTGCAGCCATATCCTGTTTGATCCTGATGGCTTCTCATTTTCTGACAAGCCAGTAATAGACCCCTCCTTCTCTGCAGGCCAACAGAACTCTGTAACTCTGTATTTAACAAGGGACAAACGGCTTGTGTGATCACCAAGAGGTTAAGGACCCGAGACAGTTGCTTCTAACATTACTGCTCTGGATACAATGACTTCATTGATTCTGTGATGCTGCTGGCTACCAAACACTAAACGTATGGAGATGACACTAATACTGTAACATTAAAGGTAAGGCTTTTATTTAGTTTCATATACCTTATGTGCAAAGGCACCAGACAACTCAGCCTTCACATGAACACACAGATTCCAGAACACGCTAACAAAGCCACCCCATGCGCAAAACCAGGAATGCCCAGAAGA